TACACCCAGAGTAGAATGTGAATAAAATTCGGCGTAGCGTGTGAGTAGAACCTGGATTAAATTGAAGGAAAACCTAGAGTAAAACGTGAGTAAATCCTGGAGTAAAGTCTAAAAAAAGCCTAGATGTAAGACTGTATAAAACTGGGAGTAATGAGTGAGGCAAACACACAGAAAATTAAGAGAAAACTCGATGTGAATTGAGAGTGGGAGAAACACGCTCAAGATAAAAAATTCTAATCAGGCAAAGATGTTTGTGAAGGGCATTTTGTTCATTAATGCAGTGAGGGTGCACACCCCCTATTGACAAGGGAGAAATTGCACAACTACCCAGTGTAATCCATTCCGTTATGTACCAAGGTACAGCCCCTCGTGGCACCCCAGGTATACTCAAACTTTACTTCAAGTTTTCTCTTCAGATCTTACTCAGGGTTTACTCACTCTCTACTTTGTTTCTATCCAGAATTTATTCTGGGTTTTACTCATACTTTACTTCAGGTAATTTCAAACATTACTCCAGGTTTAACCTTTTTTTTCTTCTGGTTTTACTCACGCTTTACAAACACTTTAGGTTTGTAGGTTTGTAAACCAGGTTTACAAACACTTTACACCTGGTTTAACTCTCACTTTATTCTGGGTTTACTCTTACTCTACTCCATGTGGACTCACCACTTACTGCTGGTTTTACTGCAACTTTGCTCAAGGTCTACTCTCACTGTACTCATGGTTTACTCTGTCTTTTCTCTGTTTTTACTGTGAGTTTTTACTCACACTTCACTCCTGGTTCACTAACACTTCACAATGGGTTTGCTCACACTTTACTTCAGGTTTACTCAGACCTTACTCAGAGTGTACTTACTCTCTACTCAGTGTACTCACAATTTACCTCAGTTTTACTCACACTTTACTTAACATTTATACACACTTCACTCTGAGTTTACTCACTCTCTACTTCCAGGTTTACTCACACTTTTCATCGGGTTTACTCAAACCTTATTCAGAGTTTATTCATTCTCTACATCAGGTGTACTCACAATTTACTCTGTGTCTTCACACAGTTTACCCCACCTTTACTCTCACTTTACTCTGGGTTTACTCATACTTTACTTTGGGTTGTCTCACACATTTCTCCATCTTTACCCTTACTTTTTCTCCTGGTTTTACTCACACTTTGCACCAGGTTAATACACACTTTACCTTAGGTTTACCTTCTCTTTACTCCGGGTTTACTCTTACTCTACTCAGGTTGTACTGACACCTTCCTGTTGGTTTTGCTCACCCCTTACTTCTGGTTTTACTTACAATTTACTCTGGATTTTACTCACACTTTACTCAAGTTTTGCTCTCACTTACCTTGTGGTTTACTATGTCTTTTCTTCAGGTTTCACTTACAGGTGACTACAGGTTCACTCACAACTAACTCTGGGTTTAATCACACTTTATTTGGGTTTACTCAGACTTGACTAAGGATTTTCTCTCTCTCTACTCCAGGTGTACTCACATTTTACTTTGGGTTTACATACAGTTTACTCCAAGTTTACTCATACTTTACTCCGGGTTTACTCACAATTTTCTCCAGGTTATCAGATACATTACTCTTGCTTTACTCTGTCTTTTCTCTGGCTTTTACTCACAGTTTACCCTGGGATCGCTCACACTTGACACCAGGTTCACTCACAATTGAAATTGGGTTTACTCAAACCTTACTCAAGGTTCACTCACTCTACTCCTGGTGAATTCGCACTTCAAGTTTACTCACACTTTACTCTTGCTGCACTTACATTTTACTTCGTGTCTTCCCACACTTTACTCAGGATTGTAGTTCCAATTTATTCTGGGTTCTACTCACACTTTACTCTGGGTTTATTCTTTCCCTGGTTTTGCTCACACTTTTCTCCAGGTTTGCTCACATTTTATTCCAGGTTTATTCACACTTGGATTTTATTGGCACTTGCACTGGTATTAGTCACACTTTTATCTGGCTTTTACTCACATTTTACTCCAGGTTTACTCACTCTTTACTTCAAGCTTACTCACAATTTACTCTGGGTTTACTCACACTTTACTTTGGCTTTTTCTCACCCTGTACCAAAGTTCTACTCACACTTTACCCCAGGTTTACACTCATTTTACTCAGGGTTTACACATACTTTAGTCTGGATTTTGTCACTATTAACTACGTGTCTTCCCACACTTTACTCCAGTTCCATCCACACTTTACTCTATGTTTACACACACTTTACTACAGATTTACTCCTAGTCTACACTGGGTGTACTCATGCCTTTCTCCAGGGTTTACCCACACTTCCCTCCAGGTTTACTCTGTACTATGGGTTTTACTATCACTTTACTCTGAGTTTACTGACACTTTTCTCCTGCCTTTACTCACCCTTTACCCCAGGTTTAATTAATTGTAGAAAATAATTTAAGTCAAAAGTTTTTGCCTTCATAGTGTTGAATTGGCAGCTGCAGATTTGACTTTGCTAAGCCAAGTTTTCGCTGCCAATAACAGATGCTTTTCTACAGCATCATTTTCTACAGGCAATTAGCACTGACAGTCATTCTCTCATTTTTCCCAATAAC